GAACAGCTCAGTGCCATCCTGGGAAGGGGGTGGGTCACCTCTCCCTCCCATCATTGTTGAATCCGGCCAAGACATGCCCAGTGTCAGCCTCCACGATGGTGGGGATGCCGACGATGAAGAGGAGGAGGCCAGTCAGGTGATACCCACCAGCCAGGACCTGTTCCTCACCCTTGAGCCAGTTTCCCTTTCCTAGGATGTCTCCCAGGCTTCGGAGGAACCCAGGGAAGGTACTTCAGGTGAGTTCTATAACTTTCTCCACACACAAGGGAAAGGGCTGAGTGCTCCTCTCTCAGCCTAGGGGCCGCACAGCAGCCTGTGCATGTGGGCGATGCTTCCAGTGGGCAGGGATAGATGTTCTCTCTCTGTGGGATGCTGCCAGTGCCAGACTTGGTGTGTGTAGGACACAGAAGGAAGCTGAACTGCCCTATCCCTGCCCTCCCACCTGCAGGTTTCTGGCCTGGCCGGCACCTTCCCATGCCTGCTTGTCCCCAGGCCACGGGCATAGCGATGCTCTCCTGGGACGTCTGTGCCCTTGCAGGAAAGTGCCCTCTGTCTAGGCCACAGATGGCCTTGTTTGCAGCACATACCATCGCCTGAACTGATGCTTTCAGTGTCGTCTCAGAGATTGGGGCTAGGCTTCATGCACAATGTCTCCTGTGATGGCTGCCCTTGTAACTAGTCTTCATAGCTGGGCCATCTGCGAGCGTGGCATGTCCACGACCTCCCATGCCATCTGCATGACTGGGATTCGCAGGAGGAAATGCACCCGGAAAGACCTAATGAGGGAGCTGATGGCCTGCCTGCAGTCCCTTGTTTGGGGGCTGGAAGAGGAGCACTAGGAGTGGGCCACTGACCAGGAGCAGCGGAAGGCCACCTGGGACCAGCTGGTGTGCCAGCATGAGGCCGTGTGTTCCTCTCTCACTTTGTGCATGGCCTCGTGCAGGGAGTGGGCCACCAGCTACTTCCCTGCCCTACTCCTATAGCTTCCCCTCCTAACTATCCCCCGGGGCCACCAGGGCCCCCAAACATGGGGCAGTGAGACCTCGAGGGCAGGTGAAGCCTTCCGGGCTGAAAACAGCAGGCACCAACTCCCAGTTCCATCCCTGAGCTCCTTTCCCCATCATCCTCCTTCCCCATTCCAGGTTCTTTCCCCAGTCCCTTCCTTACTGTACATCCCCCAATGAAAAAAGCGTTTTTATTTGCTCTGCGAGGGAAGGAAGAGGTGGGGGACGAAAGGCACATAGAGAGAATGCAGGGGCTGCTTGTGGAGAGGCACAGGGGAGAGTCTCACAGCTGGCCTTGGCTGAAACGCTCCTTCAAGGTCTCTCAGATAAGCACAGCCCTACATGTGCTCGCTGAATGCCACTGGTGTCCAGCTGCTTGTACGCCTTTGCCAGCTGTTCAGCCTCTGCTCCCACCCAGAGGTTGTGGAGCACACAGTGGGCTGCCATCCAGAAGGGAATGTTGTGCTCACTGAGGTCCAGGTGGGTGAGGAGACTCCAGAACCTTCCCTTAAGAGGCTGAACACATGCTCCACCACCATACGGCTCCTGCTCAGCCTGACGTTGAAGTGCTCCTTGGTGGTGTCCAGGCTGTGTGGGGCTTATGAGCCTGGGGAGCAAAGCGCAGGCTGTGTCATCCAGGACGCAGTTGGGTATGACCACCTCTCTGATCCTGGTGGTGCAATCACTGTGGATGTGCTATTTTGAAATACTTGACTAAATTTGATGCTCCCCCATATTGGGGGACACACTATTTTGATTTTGTTATTTCGAGAGTTATTATTTCAATTTGACTTATTTAGAAATTATTTCCTAGTGAAGACATGCCCTAACGGTCAAACATCCACCAGTTGCTTGGCTAACAGCAGCTCCATTTGATATAAGACAAATATTGTGAAGAATTAAAAATCAGGAAATGTCTTTTCTACCTACTGTAGTGGGGCTTATGTTTTCCAGGACAACAAGAATGATCAGATGTTTCCACACTGAATGACTAAGGGAAAACAACTAAACAAAAAAGACCAAATGTAAAGTTTTTATGACTGCATACGCTTTGTAACACATGCTACGACAATTGCCTCACAGAACAGCAGTGGCCTTTGGAAGCAGCAACATCCCAAAAGTTTTAAGTGTAATATGGAGGGGGAAAAAACATTACAGTTATTTAGCTACAAACAACAGGGGTTTTCTTGTTGGTATTTTTGTATTTTGTCATCTTCTCTCTTGAAATGATTGAAGAACAGTGAAACATGCTGATAGATAATGAAACATGCTGAGATTAAAGAGCAATTTTGACGTTCCCATGTGCTCAGATAGATTATGCAGTAACCTGATGGTATCAACCTTTTCATTTTTCCCAAGCTGGGGAAAAAATCCTTTAATATAACTGCAGGCACATTGTCATTTTCCAGATGCAGCCTTGTTTAAACAACAGAACAAATGCCACAAGCTGGAGAACCATGTTTTTTCCCATTCCCTATACTGCTTCTTCTGTTAGCTAGCTGCATTAACCATAACATTAATGCATTTGTGGCCTTCATCCTAAAAAATCCCTATATGTTGTACAATTTTGGGCCCCATAAATCTCTCCATTCTGCACCACAAAGAGGAACTGCAGAGGGGAGGTGGTTTAAGAAAGAATGAGAAGACCTCAGAACTTACAGAGGAGTTCTATGGGAATACCTTATTCCTTCCCAGTTCCCCAAAACCTCCATTCTGCAGTCAAGACTCCAGGGGGTTTGAAAGACCTTCTGTTCAGCGCAGCTATGTCTCTATGTCTCCTTCAGCCATCAGAATAAATCCCAGTGAGAAAGCACATGATAGCAAACCCTCGTAAAACCTACAGGGTGCGTCTAGACTGGCAAGATTTTGCACAAAAGCGGTGGGGAAGAGGCCCCTCCTGCTCCTGCCCCTGCCCCTGCTCCTTCCCCTCCTGCTCCCGCTTCTGTCCCTGCTCCTGTCCCTCCTGCTCTTGCCCCTCCTGCCCACCTCTCCATGCAGCCTGCCCTGACGCGGCCTGCCCGTCATGTGCAGGTCTGACCCCACAGGAGCAGCTCTTCCTCCTCCCAGTTGAAAGTCTTCTCCCCCTCCCAGTTCAAGGTCTCCCTTCTCCCCATTACAAATAATAAAAGACAAGTTTTTGTGTTCAAGAAAAAACTGTGTTTGGTGTTTATTGGGACATAAGGGGAAGGGAAGAGAGGAGAGGGGAGGGGAAAGGTAGGGGATGGGAGGGAGTTGTAAAGGGAGACCGAGGTGACCCTACTATGGGACCTGGGAGAACATGTCCGTCAAGGCCTCCCAGATGCGCACCCCATCCTGGTGCGCCTGGCGGATGGCACTTGTGTGGGGCTGTTCGTAGGCCTGGCCCTCGGCTGCCATCCAAGTGGGGAGAAAGGCCTCCCCCCTCCGCTCCACAAGATTGTGGAGCATGCAGCACGTGGCCACTACCTCCGTGGCATTCCTCTCACCCATCTCGAGATGGGTGAGCAAACACCGGAAGCGGGCTTTCAAGCGGCTGGAGCAGCCTGCATAGATGTCCAGGAAGTGGCCACGGTGGTCCACGAGGGCCTGGAGTACGATCGAGCAGTACCCCTTCCTGTTCATGAAATGGGCTGGGTGGTGGTTCTCTGGAGCATGGGGGTGAGCCAGGCACACAGCTCCAGGAATGTCCGTTTTTGCTTGCGGAAGTTCCGGAGCCATTGCTGGTCATCCCATTGCCCCAGGACCAGCTGGCCCCACCAGTCCGTACTGGTGTCCATTCTCCACAGTGGCCTCTCCATCCATGGGCTCCCTGGTGAGGTCCTGGAGCAGGAGGGCAGCAGCCTGGAGCACCAGCTGCAGGCATTCCAAAATGGCCACAAAGGCCAGAGCAGGCACATGGCCACCCCTGGCTCCATGGCAGAAAAAACAAGGGAGATGAAAAAAAACCAGGCAAAGGCACTAAGAGACAAAAGGCAGTGGTGTCCAAAAAGGCAGAGGGCAACCACCAAAACTGTTATGGCTCAGTCCCTGCAAGAGGTCCTATAGCTCGCAGCAGGAGAGAAACGGCTGTCTGGGGAGATCCCTTTAAGCACGTGTCTCAAAGGAGCTCCAGCCCCCGCCCCTGGAAAGGGCTGCTGCCCTTTTGCCCTCTTCAAAATGGTTCTGGGCTTCTGCTTTTGTGCAAAAGCGTCCCGCCAATGTAGACGCGCTTTTGCGCAAAGCGCATCGTTATAACGATAACTCCGGGACCTATCTAGACGTGCTTTTGCAGAAATACTTTTAATGGAAAAACTTTTCTGTTAAAAGTATTTCTGCAAAATCATGCCAGTCTAGACGCAGCCACATTGTTCCTCTCCATGACATCATACGAACAAAGTGTAGGCACAAAAGGGGCTGGAGAAGGAGCCATGGTGCCAGGAAGCTTTGTGCGGAGGGGCTGACCAGCTAATCTAATCTCTCCTTCAGTTCTTATATGACCCACTCTCTCTGGTGGCTGAATGCAATCCAAGTATTTAAAAACAGGAACAACAATAACTTTTATCTGAAGCCTGGCTGGGTATCAGCTTGGATGGAGCACAGCTTCCCTGTGAAGGTTACAGCTTGGTAGGATTTTCAAGCATTGGTCTGTATACTCTAGTGCCGCACTCCCCAAAGACTCTCCAAGCTCCTTAAAGGAAGCAAGCCAAGAAATCTCAGTGAGGTGATGCTTAAGGAATTTCCTGCTTACTTCTCCCCTTCTGCAGTTCCCTCACCAGAACAAATATGATCCTACAGAGAGGAACCCTTCCCTCTCCACTAGTGAAGGGCCACAGGTATGGTAGATCTCAGCAGATATTTAAAGGCCTGATCCAGGGCCCACTGGAGTCTTTAGAAAGGCTCTCATTGGCTGCAATAGGCACATTTTCTCTTTTCATTAAAACAATGAGAGCATGTACATAACAACTATATAATCCATTAACAATTAGATAACTGACACAACAGAAACCAGTCTGCTGCTCTCTGAAGCCTGCCACTCACCATCTGTCCTTGCAACCCAGGGCCCTGCTTTCCAAAATGGAGGGTACCCCTCGTTCATCTCCGCAGCTGTACCCAATATCTTCACAGAATGGCTGTTCCACACAAGCATCGGTCCAAGCCCTAAAGTGTGAACAACATCCCTTTGCAACAGTTTGAGATGAGAAATATCCCACTGGCATAGAGTGTATTAAAATGATCCAGTTGTATAATACACTTTATTTGCCTCATTTACTTTGTTTAAAAATCTGTTCTTCAACCCAAGCAGGTCCAGATGCCAAGTTCTGAAATGTGTATGTATCTGTATTAAATCCAGGTTTACTGATTTCCTTGGTTGTCTTTCTGGCAGGTTCTGCGGTTGGAATTTCAGCTGGATTGCAGCTGTGGAAAAGAGACTCATCAGAAAAGTTATCTTGCCCTTCTAGGAACTAGGTTTTCTTTCACTTACCTTTGATTGTGAAGAATATGCCATAGAATGTATGTGAAGAAATTATCTGATGTAGTTTTATCACTTGAGATGCTTGTTCCAGGCTTCCCTTTGGTTAAAGAAAAATGAGTTCCCTCCAACCAAACATACAGCAAAGGATCTGGTTTAAATTAGTTTGCAAGCCCTATTCAAAGAGGGCCCTGAGTAATGAAACATGAGATCAGCCTCCAGGGGAAAAACAAAAAATCCTCACCTTTTGTTCCCAATTTGGGAAAATACAGCACATTGCTATCTTGGGCTGGGATTTGTGAAATGTATTAGAGCCAGCACAAATCTTCTTAGTAACACAGAGTGAGGTCCTGTATCAAGCCGAGACCATACAAACCTTAGAATGGATCTGATTCAATTTCAGTGCAGGAAAGACAGACCGAAAGAAAAGGCTGTCCCCAAACCATGTCAATGCTTTTGCATTTGCTATGTGCTCACTACATTTTTACTTGTTATAGAATCTGGATTAAAATCCACAGTCTGTTCTCTGGGAATTTTTTCTAAAATAGTTTTTAAACTGGTGTTGACAAATCTTTTCTGTGAGAACAGGAGTTTAGAAGTACTGGGTCAGTTGAAGGGAGCTTTGCTAGTCTGACTGTCACATCCAAAGCAAAGCCTTTAAGACAGGATTTGCTTTTCCACAGAAAGAGTCTCAGTGAGATAGATCATTTAAATGATGAAATAATTAAAAATAATCTGTGTCCTTCCAAGAAATTAGCTTAGGAAAAACACAGAACTGACTACTTGTTTTTTTTTGTTTTTTTTGTTTTACTGCAGCTTCCTCTTTTCCTTGCATTTTGTAGCAAATCTGCCAACAATTATTTTAGGAACTGTAAGCTTAATGCCATACCACAGTGGTTTTCAAACTTCATTGGACTGTGACCTCTTCTGACAACAAAAATTATTACATGATTCCAGCAAGGGGTAACAAAGCTTGACTCCACCCAAGTGCATGGGGTAAACCCCCAGCTCCACCACCCTGGTGGGTAAGCTAGTCAAAGTGAAAGCCCATGGGTGTCATCTCTGGGCACGGGGAATGTAACCTCAACCCAACCACCCTGGACTGAAGATCTCGTGCTTCAGCTTTGGCTCTGGGCGGTGGAGCTTGGGTTTCTGCCTCACGCTCCAGCAAGTCTAGCACTGGCCCTGGCAACCCCATTAAATTGGGTCACGACACACTTTGGGGTTCCATCCCACAGTTTGAGAACTGCTGTGATACTAGATATTATGGCCACAGCAAGTGCAAAGAAAGGGCCAGGTTCTTTTTTCTCCAAAAACTTGAAGAGACAAATTCTTTGGATACTCTTCATTAGCTTTTAGTTAATACAACAGGGACCAGGCCATAGTGCAGTGTTTCTTAAACTGTGTTCTGCAGCACACCAGTGTGCCGCGAGGAAGTTGGAGGTGTGCCACGGAGAATAACACTAGTCAAAATGGCCACCCTTAAAGGGGCAGGTGACCAATTTTCCCCTTCCTCAATAACTCCCCACCCCCCGACTTTTTTTTCCCCTTCAAAAAATATCCTTGGTGTTCCTCATAAAAAAAGTTTAAGAAACACTGCAATAGTGAGTATTTCTGATTCCATCTATTAAAAGATAACAGGCTACATACATGTCAGTCAGGTACATACACCACAAACTCTTTGTTTCTTCATTATTTCAATCTGTATCAAGAAAAGCTGACAGCCTGCAAAGCCCCTGGGCAAGGTGTGGGGGCATCCGGCTCTATGCTCCCAGAAGGGGTGAGGTTGAGGGCAGCTGTCCCTCAGTGTTGTCCGGAGTATGGCGTGCACTTCCCCCTGCCCTTAGCACTGCCTGAAGAGTGCAGGCTGGCATTCCGGCATGACGCTCTGGCAGCAATTTAAAGGGCTCAGGGCTCCGGATGTTGTTGCTGCTACTGTAGCAGCGGCAGCAGCCTCTTTGAATTGCCGGACTCGGGGAGCAACTGCTCCCTTTGCTCCCCTCTCCTACTGTCAGCGTGCCTGTCTGTATCCCAGACATTAAGATCCCAATCCTTCCCATGGGTGCCAATTCAGCTCATTGACCTCATCCTAGCGCAAACACGAAGAGCAAGAGGAGAGCTAGATAACACATGCCAATGTTCACCAAGAAATCTACCCTCTGTCATTTCCTCCTCTGTGAATGTAGATGCCCTTTGAAGCATGCCACTTGTAAACAAGTTACCCTGTCACAAAGAAATAAAGGATCAGATTCACCAAAAGGCTCAGGTTGCTTTCTGTAGGACCACACTATTCCATATCCAAAAGGTTTTTTGAGGGACAGTCTAATCACATCGGATTACAAAAGGCTTTTTAATGGCATCGATTTTTCCTTGTAATTGCTTAAGTGTTGTCAGGCTCTCTTACGGGAATGCTCCCTGTAAGACTGGGCATCGGAGGCATTTGATCTAACAAGCCCCTTGATTGGGGACACAACCAGCATCTGAACAGCTCAGTGATGGGTCCTGGAATTCACTTTCGGAGTCGCATGAGCCTGGACTGTATGACCAAGCATCAGTCTTGTATTTTGTAGCCAAGATGGTCTTGTGGTTAAAGAAGGGGACCAAGATGCAGGAGGGGTGCCGAGGTGACGCGCAGTAGCACCCAGAAGGTGCACTGCCCCCCTGCGCTCCTGCCAGAAGCCCAGTTGCTAAATAGAGTGGCCCCTCCCTGTTTCTCTGAGCGGCCCTCCCTGCACCTCTTCCCTCTGCAGGCACCAGATCTTAGCTCTGCCACAGTTAATGCCAAGATCAAGACCTGCGATTGTGCACTCTTAGGGCTGAGGCTTCCCGTTACGATGTGATTGTACAGCATCAAACTCAACAGATCCTTGTTGGACCGCCCAGGGTATGTCTGCACAGCCTATGGCAGCAAACCTCTGCCACTTTGGATTGCAAAGCTGATGCACAAATGTAGCTTTGCAGACCGCGCTTTCTTATGGAGGCTCTGGCTCTGAACTCTCCGGTCTCCCAGGTCTTAATTTCAAAGTTCTATCTACACAGCTGTAAGTCCTACTAGCCTAAGCTGGTCAGTCTAGGCTGGTGGGCTCCCTGCTATGGGCTATGTAGATGTACCCCTAGGTGCTATTGTAATATTAACTTTTTTGCCTAGGCATTCTCTGAGGTAGAAGAGTGTGTTGGACTGGGGGAGGTGGATCTGGATGTCATAATGGAGACACATATTTGTAATTAGGAAGGTGTTATTCTTTTGAAAGCCTGCTTTCAATTTAGTAGCTGTATTCTCATTTGTCCATTTTTGTGGTTCTGCTGGGAATGTGTCTAGTTTAGCTACTTGTGGCTAGAAACACATTTGGCTGAAAAGACACATGAACTACAGCATCTCTATTTGGGAGGATTAAAAAAAACAGCATTGGAAGCAACATTTTGGTACCGTTTGGCTTGAGAACTGTGGGTTAGCTGAACAGCTGCTTTTGCTGGAGTTCAGAAACAGAAGCTACCCCTGGGACTATAAGTTTTGCTGCTGCACAGTCTGTGTGTGCGTGATGTTCTCTCACGAGTGAGGTGCACATGGGAAAGTAGTGCTGTTTGGCGGATAGGACATTAATTATAAATCAAGAAACTTGGGTGCCAATCCTGTCTCTGCCACAGACTTACTATAATGCCTTGGGTAAGTCACTTCATCTGTGTGTTTCTTTTGTCTATTTTGTGGTAAAAGTCTTTGGGGACAGGGACTGTCTCCAACTAGCACCTCAGCCTAGGAAGCCCTCATCTCAGTTGTGCACTATAAACTTTAGTTTCTGCCAGACAAATTAATAAAACAGGTTGAATCTGCTAAAATCTGGCACTCTCTGGTCCAGCAACAGCTGTGGTCTGGCAGGACCGTGGGTATTGCTGGACCGGAGAGCCCCAGCTGGGAGTGGGGGAGCCAGAGTCAGAAATACAGGAGAGCTCCAGCTGGGAGTGGGGGAGCCAGAGTCAGAAATACAGCACTGGCTGGTGGTAGCAAGGCCAGAGGCCAGGAGTGTAGCCCAGGCCAGCAGTAGGGAGCACAGCCCTGGCTGGGGCTGGCAGCAGCAGGGCTGCTGCTTTGGGAGGAAACCCAGACAGGGCTGGGAGCAAAGTCCAGTGGCCAGGGTTGGGGCTCTGGAGCAGGCTGACAGCCAAGAGGAAAAGAAAACTCCCTGATTCAGGACCACTCACATCCCCAGGGTGTCAGACCAGAGAGGTCCAACCTGTAATAATATACATGAAAAGAGACACACAAAGATAGCTCTGATGTTTTGCCAATTCAGCTCTGTCCCTGAACAAAGAATTAACCCATTTCAGAAGTCTAACCTTTTCTTGACTGCTTGGTATGAATAAAACATGCTATTCATACTTGTAAAGATATTTTAAATATATTCCCATATTTTACTACATTTTCATATTATGAGGCCCACCTCTCTGTGGTAAGATTTACAGCAGGCTAAGATTTATTGACCTATTTCAGCATGCTACGATTGACTTGTCAGCAGTTTTTAATTTAATTGTGCTTTGATTCTTCAGCCTTGAAGATATTTGCATTTTCAGTTCAGCATCTCTTGGCAACACTTGTAGAGAACAGCAGCAGCTGGGATCCAGAGCTCTGCAACTTGTTAATTGTTCACTTTCTAGACGTGTCCTGGTGTTGAATTGCAGCAAATTTCCAACCTCTCTTTTTCACAATACATATAGTTTTTCGTGGGAGTAATACAGCTATTTGTTTTTATTCCCTAATCTTTTTATCCCAGTTGGATCACTGAAAATACAGTCTCAAAGGGACATTTTCAACTGAAAACCCAAAATGGATACATCCGTTGTGGCCAAATGGCCCATTCTTTGTCCAAATAAGAGCACAGGAAAAATCATCAAGGTAGGAAAAATGAAACCTTGGCTGCTAAATTTGTTTGTGGGGCAATGGCTTGTCTCCTTGACATAAAATATTCTGTAAATAAAATGGCTCATATTAGGATCTTTAGAGAAATGGGGGGAGGGGAACATCATACAGCACATGATCACAACAGCCGTATCGATCAATGGATGCGTCTCCTGGCAAAACTGATTACGTGGATAACAGGCAGAATCATCAAGGAGAAGCAGAGTGAGAAGAGAGAATCAGCATCTCCAGGAGTGAAAGAACAGGCCTGGCTCAGGAATGAAACCTTGAGAAAGTCTATGAAATGCCAGAGGTAGATGATAAAACTTGTAACTTACAAA